GATAAGAAGTGGTGATGTCAGGGGAGGAGGCCACCACAATGACTGGCTTAATGAGGGATTGTTGGCTCTTCTCCCTGTGCTGACAATTCCACATGGACACATTTTCCCTTTGCTATCCCCTTCCCCACCCATACTCAAACGAGGTCCTTCCTGTTATTGTTGAAGGAGAACCTGACAGTTGCCATGGTCAAGAAAAAGAGTTACTCAAATTAAATGCCACTTTCACTCAGTCTGATAGTTTGGGAAATTTACAGGACCATTTACATGAGCCTGAAGTTTAAGACAGGACTCAAATACTACTCAGGAGAATTGCTGAGCAGTGCCCTCATCTTGTTCCAGAACAAGCCAGAGCCTTCTCTGAACCACAAACCATTCTCTGAGCATCTCAGAGATGTTGTGGAGAAGAGCTTCACTGGGGGTGGGAGGTGAGGGTGTACCACTCAGCCCCCTGAGAGCCTCCTGATGGAATACACAGGTGGCCTGGAGAGTCCTGTTCAGGATTATCGGATGGAAGCGTAGCAGAAGGACAATAGGCAGCCTGGCAAATTATATTCTGTTGACCTACTTACAGGTTAACCTGAGTACACTGATTTATCTACTTTCTGGTTAGGAATTCAAAAGCTTGGTTGTCAACTGCTTCTAGAACCACCAGTTTTTGTTGCATGTGTGGTATGGTCACTGACTCATGGAAGGAGGCAGGGAGTAGGAGTTAGGTCAGTCATGGAGGGAGGAGAAAATATTCTGGAATGGTTTATTTCTTTCTTCTCCTTGTTATGTAAGATGCGGTTTCCCCGAAGAAACAATATGCTAAATAAAAGTTAGGGTCCCAACCCACAGAAGCCTATTTTAACCCACGTTTTTGCCGACTATATTCAATTTAATTTAGTTCAATTCAAGAAGGTAGATTTTTTTCCTGCGAGAAAGCGGAAAAAGGAGGGCTGTGAGAGTGACCCAAGTGGTGCAATTTAGAGTTTTCACTGAGTAAGGCAGAGTGTGTGTGTGTTTGGGGCGGTGGGGGGATCCTGCAGTGGGAGGATGAATAAAACGTGGCCCCTGCCCTCAGAGAGTTCACAGTGCAGTTAGAGAGACAGACACACCCCGGGCTAATATGTGCGAGGATAATGGTGGAGGTGTCGTCTGGCCAGACAATAGTAGAAGTAGTATTAGTTCCAAGGGGGAAGATCTAAGACTGTGGAAGACGTGGCAGCTGCCCCCTGAAGGATGTTAGGGCCTTAACCAGCCAAGGGGTGAAGACAGTGTGGACGTGTGAGGCAGAGAAAATGACGGCGTGAAGGCTCAGGGTGGTGAGCTGCAGGGCACAGCCAAGGAGCTGCTGCAGAGGATGGAGGGGTTGTGGGAGAGCACAGGGGCAGGCGGGCCTTTCTGAATTGGTCTGATGCTCTAACCACTCACAGAGAAGGTATGCCCATACTTTTCGTGTTGAATTATGGGCAGTTGATGTTCAAAAGCCCATTTTTTTCCCAAACAAATGTGGTCTGGCCTCAGACTGAGGGGTTGTCTCATATGTAATCATTTATTACCATAAAGAATAAGAAAGTGATGAATTGCAAAGATATTTGTTATATTTAACTTTCTTGGGATAGATTTGTCAAAGAGACGTTTAAATAGCATTATGCCCTGTTCTATAACTGGCCCATTCTGTCACACTTTCCTTTGTTATGGCTAAAGCATGTAAAACCTTGTGCTGTCATTGAGAATACCAGGTCTGCAGGTTGTAACATGCAGTCAGGAGGAGGAATAAAGGGAAAGACAGAGAAAAGATCTGTAAGAAGGATCAGGCCCAGGAATAATTTGTAAAAGATGGTAGACATCTGATATCAATGTCTACCTATTTGTATCTGGACAGCGGCACGTATAAACTTTTTTCTTTGAGGTGTTCATGAGATGAGGAGCCTGTGGTAGGTGGTGAGAAATCAAAGACATGACTCAGTGGGGTTTATATGATTTCGTGCTATCTGGACAAAAGGCTGAATGGAATTCAGTTCTTTATTGAGATATCTGGTTGAGCTGAGCATTTGTCCATAATTCCATCTTCAGTTCATTTTTTCCATTGAGGGAAGAAACAGAAAACTCATGGGTAGATTCTGTTGAATTCCTGAAATTCCAGTTCATTTGTAAGTCACTAATAGGTAACAGTTTACATACATATTAAATATATAATAAAATAAATGGTGAGATACTTTAAGAAAGTGCTTTTGCAATATTACAAAGTGATTATTGTCTACATCTATTTTTCATTTTGCTTGTTCAACATTATGCTCTTAAAAATTGACACCACTGTAAACTGATTTTGAGATATATAGTGGTATCTTAACTGTGGTATCTTAACTGGGGAAATGTTCCACCTTACTCTTAAAAACACAGGCTCCATCTCACCTTATTCTTTTTTTTTTTTTTTTTTTGACATTTGCATTATATTTAATTCCTCTAAGTTTTGTCCTAACTTCTGAGTATTATTTCGTTCACACACATGTCAATTTCAGTAAACAATTCATCTGACAAACTTGTCAGAATCATTCTCTCCACGAGGTAAGGGGGGGTTGCAGCATTTGTCCATCTCACCTTATTCTTAAAAATACTGGTTCTGGTCCCAAAGGGCGGACCTTTTTGAGAAGCATTATTTTGTCTCTTACTCTATGTCTTGCCCATGAATCAAGAGAAAACCAATAATGTCAAGTGTTTGATCCATTTACACATTTCTTCCCCTTTACTCTCATCTGTAAGGAGACAGCTTTTCGATTATAAATATTCACCTCTCTGGGCAAATGACAAATAATGTAGCTGTGTTACCAACAATAGAAAAAAAGCCATGCAAAACCATCCATAAAACATGTTACCTGACTAGCAATAAGGAATGGCATGTTAAATTATGGTACCTCTCAAAAATGGCGTATTACACAATTGTTAAATGATAATCAGGAACACTGCGTAGAAACATGAAAACATACTTAGCATATAAATAAGAGAGAAAGGAAAACCACACAATTATAATATTTAAGGTGCATGTGGGGGAGTCCTGTAGGATGATATGCTAAAATGGAAATGCAGTAGTTCTGTAAGGAGAGTGGGGCTGTGGATTTTCAAAAAAATTTTCTTTAATGTTATAAAGTAGTCGTAACAGTGATTTTACCAAGTAAATGATACTACAGATGCAGAGTGGAGATGTTAATAGGTAAATAGAGGTTGGATATTACAAAAGAGAAAAGCATTTAAGAGAATGAATCTTCCTTCCCTACATGTGCCAGCTAAGTGTATATTAAGAGCCCATAGTATTGAAAACATTTCCAAAGGATCTGATTAGTAGGGTTTGGAAGTGAGTCTGAACTTAAATATATATGGATTTTGTTTGCCATGATTGTAACAGAAACTAAATCTTAAAACAGTTGTCTAAATATATTCTAGCATGGGTATCTTGGCTGAATTCACACTTTAACATCAAAAAGCAGTTTGGAGAAAGAATCCATGAGCGTAATAGATAGGAATATTGAACAAGAAAAAGTCAATAGAAATTATTTCAAAAATAAAATGCCTATTTAAAATCAAGTTGAAATGACTATTTGGATTAGTAGCAAGTAAAAAAAAAATAACTAGTTTGTTTTATGTCTGTCTCAAAGTGCTTAATGTATACAGGGAATAGTCCTCCTGTCTATTACGTTAATATTTGCTACATCTGTTGACTAGAATGAGCTGCTGTTTTCCTCTAACAAGCTCACTCATGTTTCTCACCTTGTTTTCCTTCTCTTCCACCTCTGTTCAACAGAATGGATGCTTTCCCCTGAATAGTACTAAATGTTTCCCCAACCACTGAGTGTTGATTTTGGGGCACTAGGCTACCTTCCTTTATATTAGGAAGGGATTACCTAATATAAGATGTTAAAAAAAAATTCACACACACAATCACACGTTTTATTCTTTCGGTCAAAGTTAAGCCATGCAGTCAACATTTGCAAACCATTATTTTAGCACTGCAGAAAATTCCCTCAAGAGCATATTTAGATACCTTAAGTATCTTAAGTAGGTGGACCGAAGAAGAAGACCAAAGTAAGTTGCTTCTGAAATAGAACTTGAAAATGTGATGAAATATCTTAGATTTCTAAACTATTAATTAACTTTGGATTTGGACATTGGTGTGTGTGTGTGTGTGTGTGTGTGTGTGTGTGTGTTGTGAGAGAGAGAGAGAGAGAGAGATCTCAAGGAGTTTGAACTAATTCAAGGAAATCAAAAAGTAACTTTTCCACACCTAAACCATACTTAACACTCCAAGCATCTCTTTTCAGACCCTGTATAGGATCTGCTGAGTCTTTGTGAACATCTCTCTTTGCTATCTTGCTGTCTCTTCATCCCTGAAGATGTCCACAAATGGCAAACAGATTAGAAGGGTTTTTTTTTGGGTTCAGATTAGAAGTTTTTATTCCTAAGAGAATAATCCAATAATTTTCACCTTCATTGAAATATGATTTTCATCTTTCAAAATGCTCCAGAATTATTAAGGGGTACTGTGATTTTAGGAAACTATTTTCCCTCCATGCCAAATCTAAAGTAGATTACATTTATTGCATCTATTGGATTATTTGGGGGCTATACCAATACCAAAAAAATTTTATCTTTAATTAACATATTTATTTTATTTCCAGTAAGGTATTTGGTAAATAAATAATATTTGGCAATAAAACAAATCTGCTTTCATACACCTACAAAATTATTTTGAGCAGTAGTAAGAAGTTAATCCATGTCATATAATTTTTATCATGAATTGCATAACTTTGGCATGCATTTTGTTATATCTCATCCCCTGGCATTATATAAAGTGTCTTTGACATGATGCCATAGAATATTCAAACCGGGAATGAACGATAGACATACTCTAGTGTAAGTCAGTCCCACTCCTCCCTGATTTCTGAAGAGTGAGAACTGAGGTACAAGAAGATAAAATTTGCTCAGGATCACACATCCCATTTTCTGACATTTAAGCCCTACTTAAAAAAAAAAATCATACTCTTTTGATGTTGAACTTGGTTTGGAAATTTTGATTTTTAAGGGCATGATTCTTAAGAGTGAATGCTACACTTAAAGACTTGCAGACTTGGATCTGAAATATACAAAAGGGGTATGGCCAGAATTTGTGTCCTCAATTCCCCCTTAGGGAAAAAGTGGCTGAAACTCTCTGATCATTAACAATAAATCATCATTCTTTGAAGGAGACAAAACATTCTGATCTTCAAGATGAAATATACCATGATTTCTCTATATAATTCAATATTTCTCTTCAATAGGGACTAAATGGTATCCTGGCTGATTGCCCTCTTGTCTATTATAGTTAAGCAACTGAAACAGAAAATACATTTTAGGATCCCTTTGTGCCTTTTTCCCTCAGCAGCAAAAAATTAAGTATGAAATAAAACAGACCTTTGTCATGCAATGCTCACTGATTAGGTGAACTTAATAAAAACTGAGCTTTAGTTAAATCTAGTAGATTAACTCTTGTTTCATTGGCATTTATAGTCTCTGGGAATGTTGAATAAATGTACAAATAATGACACTTCCAGAAGTTTAACCATTGCATTTTATGTAAATTCTGCATAAAGTTCAAGACTAATGTGTTGATTTCATAGCTTTCAGATTTCAAAAGGCATATAGGAATAGTTATTACCAGGACTCCCATAAATGTTAAAGACACTTGTATACATATGTAAAACCCATTTTGACTTGATGAACACAAATTCTAATTAATGAAAATATTACATCAAGTCATTTTGCACCCGATGAGGAAATTATACATGAATGATAGCAAATATTGAAAAAAAACACTTAAGATAAAGACCCAGTAAATCAATTTAAATGAAGAGTTTAAGAAGTAACATAGCCATCTAAAATTTTTAGTTTTTTACCTAGCTGGTCACACACTTATTTTACTTTATTTGAAATCTCTGATCTTGTCAGAGGATAATATCATAAAACTCAATTACATAATTCAACTCCCCTTTCTCCAAAAACCATCCCACCTAAGGAGGGAGTAGCTTTTCTGTCTTGACTTTTTTCTTTCAGCAAATAATAAGTGTGAAAAGCTTTCACTAGAAAAAATAATTTCATACAACGAAGCACTAAATTGTTTTGTCTTTCGATTTATTCCGACTGAAAGCTGCTCAGTTTCCCTATGGCAAGCCCATGTATCATTTCATGCCTGATATCTGCAGCCTACTCTAGATTTATCTTGCTTTTAGCAGGTGCTGAGTAGCACTTTCTGGGTTATTTTACAAAACATCCAACATGGTTTAATTGATAAAAAGCAATTGGAACTGCTTTCTCTCCTACTCACTGCCTCTTCAGTGTCCTTAACCCTCATCACCCTTCTCTAAAATGTGTCCCCAACATGCCTATTTACATGCCTTCAGGCACCCGAAGCTGGCACATCCATCACATACCAAGTCAATTTCTAACAGTTTGAAGGCTGTTGAGCAGGGCAGTTTCCTTCCCCAGGAAGCTGAGTGTAGTCACATTTCTATCAACACAGCGACTCTTGTATGCAAAGCTTAGACTATTGTCTCGTGGTCCCACCTGCCTTGGCTCTGATTGATGTAACAACAGTATCTGTCATAGGGACTGTTCTGCTTGTAGGAGCAAACGATGATACTGTCCTGGGGCACAAAGAAGATGCTGTCCTCAGGCTCCGGGCAGTCAGGTCTGTCCCAGGCTGAGCACTTGGCATCCAAGGCACTGTAGACAAGGGAACTGCCTGAGGGACAGTAGCCATCCAGGTATCTGGATGTCTCCTCCTGATGCCCATTCTGGACCAGGCTCTGGCGTTCTCCTTCCGTGGGTGTGGGGGTGGTGATGGAAGTGGCCACAGGCACCTCTGTCTGCCCCTGGCACGGGGGTTTCCCCCTGAGGCCAGCCTTCTTAGCCAGCTCATCTGAGCTTCCCTTGCCCGATTCCAGGTCTGAAGGGGTCCGCAGCAGTTCCACCACCTCCTTATCCTTGGGTTTCCGGAAGCAGGGCAACTTGCGGACCCATAGCAGCTCATTTTCAGGCCACTTGGTGCATCCCTCAGTTTTCCTGGCCAGGGCAATGGCTGCGATGCCTGGTAGGCAGATGGCTGGCCCGATGGCCAGGAGGGGGATGTTTCCAAGAGTCTCTCCTTTCATCCCAGAGACGGTGAACATGAAGCCAAAGACCAGAAAGACACTGACCAGGGCCACCACCAGCCCAGTCCTCGGGTTTATATCATCAGGCCGCATCTTTCACTCCATCCAGATTGGGGGCTACTTGCTGGCTAGGGAGCAGCAGTTCTCTCTTCTGTCAGAGGCAAAACCACAGTGGGTTAAAAAAAGAAAGAAAGAAAGAAGGAAGGAAAAAAAGAAAGAGAAGGAAGGAAACAAGTCAATTTTCCACCCACCAAGTCTCTATCTTTCTTACGCGTTGTCTGTCTCCACTTGTCTGTCAACCACGGTCTCTGGATCTCTATTTATTCCTCTGTTTCTCTCTCTCTCTCTCTTTCTCTGTCTCTTTCTTACTGCCTCTTTCTCTTTCATATAAACATACAGAGACTGGGGTCACTGAGGTACCTGAGGTTTCCTGCTGTCTCCCAGGAGCAGGGAAAGAAGCCAGTCTGAGTCTCCTTAGAAACCTCCACAACAGCTGTCCCCTCGGCTCTCTCCCTTGTTTCTGTAAGGAAAGCCTCGCTTTCCCCACTGACTCTGCATCCAGGAGGTGGGACGTGGGAGCGCGTCTTTCTCAACAGTGCCCGTCGGTCTCCAGAGCTCTGCGAGTGGACTGGAGGCACAGCCCAGCGCCGGGCTCTGGCGCAGAGCGCCGGGTGCTGGAGGGAGGAAGGACTTAGTCTGGGAAAGAGGGAAAGCAGCGCGCGAGTCTGTCCTCGTTACATCACTTTCAGAGCAAGCTCAGAAACAAAGACGGACGCGCGGGGGCGCGAGGGGTTCAGACCCCGGGGAGAGCTACCCGGACAGAAGTGGTTGCCCAGGGTCCAGTAGGGGTGCTTGGAGCAGCTGGGGTTCGTTCCGCCGCTGCCCAGGAGGGCTGAGCAGGACGCCTGCAACTGCCTCAGTGCCTGGGGAGAGTCTGGGGGCGCAAGGCTGTCGCTGGCCAGAGAGCGGAACTCGGGACGGTTTGCCCACGGGCAGCCTGGACCCCGAGTTCAGGTCCGAGGGCCAGAGAGTGCTAGCTGGAGATCTTCCTCGGGGACCTGGACCTTTCTCCAGTTACAAATCTGGGTGATCCGACCCGACTGGTAGCAGAGCTCCCAGGGGTTTCTCTGACCGCGGGCCTCTCAACCGCTAGGCTCTCAGGGCTCAGAGGGCTGCACTGAATGCTCCAGGGTCCCACTGCTGGCCGACTGCTCTTGGTGCCGGCGCCGGGCGGCAGCGGTGTGCAAAACCGCTCCAGCAATAGAGTAGGTTGCACAGCCAGAGTCCCCGGGGACTGGCTCCCAGGCTGATACAGTGGTGAGGAGTGGGTATCGGGTCTTCCTCGAGACTTTAGGGAGTCACCAGAGTCTTTCCCCCCTGATCTTCCAGCTCCGGACACTGGAGGGGATGCTTGGAGATGGGATCCTACTCCAATACTGTGGTGGCACCAGCCAGGCTGGCTAGGTCAAAGGAGAAGGGATCTCTGACCCCATCCCCATCCCTGCACTTTGCACCTGACCTCCAGCTGGCGAGGAGAGGGAAGGGAGGGTCAGGCCAACCAGCCCACCATGCAGCTCCAGCTTTGGGCGATTCTCTCCTCCCTTGCAGAAGCTGGTGTGAAGAACCTGTTTTCTTTCCATCATAGTAGGGGATAGATTCCTTTGGCCAGAAGGGGATGACTGGTTTTGACCGGGGTTCTTCAACAAGGCTGTCCATTTAATGTAGATCGGGAGTAGTAAGGGACAAGAAGGAGAGGAGTGTATATTCTTTCATGTCAAGGCACTGCAGTGGAAAGAACTTTGAAAGAACTTTGAAAGAGCTTTGACATCCAGGCCTTCCCCTGCTTAAAGAAGCTGTGTGTTCTTGGGCAAGTGACTTAACCTTTCTGAGAGTAAGTTGACCCAACTGCAAAATGAGAATAGTACTATCAAATGTGTGGGGAAGCATTATGAGGATTAAATAAATGTAAAGCTCTTAGCACAATGCTTGGTAAGTGGTCCTTGTTCACAAAGTGGTAGTGAACCACTATATATTCGCATAGTAACTAGGTCATAATCAATATAAGCCATGAGCCAAATCATAATGAGCCCAACTGTGAGGGGTAAGCACCTTCAATTTTATCCACTAGGCAATGAGAGCCATGGAAATATTTTCAGCAGGAATGAACATAAAATCATTCCGTTTTTTTGACATGGTGACAGAAGACTAGAGGACAGGTTTCAGGGGGTAAATGTGGAAGCAGGGAGAGCTTCTAGGACAGTTCAGTCAGCTTGGCAAGGCACACTATGGGCCTGAACAATGCAGAGACTTTAGGGGTGGTTAGAAGAAAGTGAATTTGAAGGATATTTAAGGGTAGAGTCAAGGATCTTGGGCCAAAGGCAGTAAGATGGTAGTAGGAGTCAAGGTTGACTCCCACATTTCTCACTCATTCAACTGAGTAGATCAAGAATCAGACTCCTGATTTTCCATATCATCTATAGTGTGTGTGTGTGTGTGTGTGTGTGTGTGTGTGTGTGTGTTTGTGTGTGTGTGTGTCCTTTGTGCTCATGCTCATTAGATAGCTGCTATATTTCTGGACATAGAACCATTATCTAGGGAGAAGGAAGGGGGAAAAGGCAAAGGGTAAAAGTGAGATGCCAGCTGTTTGAAAATTTATATCAAGAAAATAATTGTTTTCTTGACAGTCTCACCAAGTAGATAGACATTTGGTTATATCTAATTGGCCAGAGGGATGTCATACGGACGACTTCTAGATGCAAAGGAGCCTGGGAAATCACAGTTTAATTTTTACTAGATTTAGTGCCACTCTGAAAAACAATCAGGACTTTGTTAGCAAGGAAAAAAAGGAGAATGAATATTGGGGAGGCAGCTAGCAGTGTGTGTGCCATAGTTGAACACATTTCCCTTCTTGAAAACTTCTCTTGCCCTGACTTTACCAACACCAGTCTATCCCAGTTTCCCTCCTATTCTCTGGCCACTCTTTTGTAAGCTAGTTTTTAAACTCTTCTTTATTTTATTTATTTTTATTTTTAACAAAACTCTTAGATGTCAGTATTCTGCTGGTTATGTCCCTGTTACTCCCTTTTCCTGATTTCTTTCCTTGCTGTATAGTAGTTTTAAACACCAAGTGGGTAGGATGATGACTCCTAAATTTCTCTCTTTAACTTTATCCTTTTTCTTCAGTTTCAGATTTGTAATATCTGTCTGCTTAGTATCTGTCGGCATGGTACACAGACACTTCAAACTCAACATGACCCCAACTGCGCTCATTGGATTTCCTTCAAAGTTGCTCTTTCTCATTTGACCCCCACTGAGAAGTTTGCAATTGTCCTCCATTCCTTTCTCTCCCTAACAACCTGCATCCAGTAAGTCACCTAAGTCATCATAGTCTTAGTCTTACCTCCTAAATCCCTGATCTTCTCCTCTTTTGCCTGTGACCTGAGGCAAATAACTTTACCTCCCTGGGTTTTAATTTCTTGTGAAATAAGGACTTTGAATGAGGAGCTAGCTGAGATCCATGTCAGCTCTATCATTACATGGTTCTCTGACAGTCACTTCTGCAGGGCAGACTGATGTCATTGTCGTGTAGGTGGTGTGACAAAAGTGCTGGAAACCAGGTTGGATTTTAAAGAAGCACGTTGCTGAGCAGAGACCTCTGCTCTCTCATAGGAGCATCTAATTCCATTCTGACTTTTAAGACATGCTGTTTATCTACTTAAGCATTAGATAAGACCTATGCATAAAACCACAGGAAACTTCAATTACTGTTTAATTATAAGCCTGATTCTCAAAGCAGTTCCTTCTTAGAGGTAATTTCAAATGGCCTTTTTTTTTCCCCCTTTTTTTCAGATGGTCTTTGAATAGCAGGTATACTCGCCCAAGCCCAGCAACAAAAGTGGGTGGGTGGGTGGGGGAGACATCACTCAGGGTCACGATATTCAGAGTCAGAAAAGGCATTGATTCCTGCCCTTACAGGCTGATTGCAGTAGGATTTTAAAACCTTAAGCAGTTCTTGTAATGCTATAAGCCTATATAGCTATGTACAAAAGCTTTTCATCAGAAGAGAAAGGAAATTCAGGTTGGAATGAGGCTTTGGCATGTGGGTGTTTGAGAAGAAAATGCAGAACCTTTTATTTCTGAAATTACAGAAATCACGGGATGTTAGAGTTTGAAGATACTTTATAACATATCTACTCTAACCCTCTTTATTATACAGATGAAATCCAGAAAGGTTGCATTCCTGCAATATTACTTGAGTATTTATTATGTGCTTGGCACTGTGCTAGGTGCTGGGGATACATGTCCAATAGGATATGGTCTGCCTTTATAGAACTCATGTTCACAGAGCAAGATATGTGTAGGATAGGATAGATTATGCCATGGCAACAAAAGGCTTCCAGACCTCAAGGGCTGTCTGTTCATCCTATGTGTCTATGATGGGGCAGCTGTGCTCTGGGATTCAGGCTGACCAGGCAGCCTCCATTTGGGACATTGCCACTCCACTGAAGACCTATACTGGAGACACTCTACTGATGCTTCTCTTCAGTAGATTCTTTCTTGGGCTCTTCTAGCACATCCCTAGGCCTGTGGGGTGGCTAAGGGACCACTGTGTTTTTGAGTATGGATAAAGCTCTGATATGCAAGGTGGGGAGTCTGTACTCTGCCTATCTACTCCTTCATGGTTTAGAACAGAACCAGGGATGGGAAGAGAAAGGCAGCATTCACTTTATTTTTGCCTGCAACCTCACACATGTTAGAGTTAGGCCTGGTTGAAGGTTTTGGAGAAAAGAGGGTGAAGTCCCAACTGTTTTAACAGGCTCTCAGCTATGTACAGAAAATAGACTTAAGTCAGGTCAAGGGCAGACGCAAGGAGAGCAGTTGGAATACTATTACAACTGCCCAGATGAGACATGATAGTGACTTGAACTAGGGTGATAGCAGTGGATGTGGCAAGAAGTGGGTCAAGGGGCGCCTGGGTGGCTCAGTGGGTTAAAGCCTCTGCCTTCAGCTTACGTCATGATCCCAGGGTGCCGGGATCGAGCCCCCACATTGGGCTTTCTGCTCAGCGGGGAGCCTGCTTCCTCCTCTCTTTCTCTGCCTGCCTCTCTGCCTGCTTGTGATCTCTGTCGAATAAATAAATAAAGTCTTTAAAAAAAAAAGAAGTGGGTCAAATTCTGGATATATCTTAACCTAAGTTGATAGAATTTGCTAATAGATTTGGGATGTGAGGAAAACTCAGTAGTCAAGGATGATTCTAATACTTGAGATTTGAGGTGGGAAATCAAAAACTTGAATTTGGATGTGTTCACTTGATATATCAAAGTTGATATATGTTGATAGAGTT